AGCTGCAGCCAGGCTGGTAACACCATAAGCTCACATTTGACAAGGGATGAAGGCAGGCAGGAAGCACGGAGGGAGAAAAACTTCCTAGGGTAGAAGTTACATCAGAGTTCTGCTTCTGACTCTCCTAACCATTTCACTCTGCCTCATAAATCTCATTTCTAGGGGCTCAGTGATAAGCCTTATCATGAAGTACAGGAATATTATGCAAAATAACAAGAAATGGATTGGAAAATGTTCAGATTGCTTCATATGGCCGTTTACACAAGGTGAACCTAACCAATCTGTTCAGTTTAGCTTTGGTTACAACTGAAAATGATGGTGACTGCACGCTGCTTTTCTAACACTTTTATTCTCCGGTTCCATGCATTAACTTTTGCTCAATAGTCACCAATGACCAAGCTGCTACCCTGTACTAAGATCTAGGATTATAAAGGGAAATAAATCATATTCTTTGTGTGTAAGTTGTTCACAGATGATGTGGAAGACATACCTAAAAATAAAGATGAGTCGAGAAGGGTTATGATAAAGATATTAAAAAAGCATTACTGAGGGAGGGGCAGGAGGGTGAGTCATCCAGCCTTTTCCCAAATATACCCCTGTCCCTTAGCTTAATTAGCTTATTTCACCTGGAAACCCCCCTTCCTAACTCTGACCCTCAAGCCACATCCCTTGAAATTTTGACCATTCTTCAAATCCCAGGTCAAATGCCATTTTTTCAACAAAGTTGTTCTTAATCTTAAAATCTGGAATTAATCTTTCCATTCTGTGTGCTTCTAAACACTTTATTTATATTTGTTTACCTCAATTAGTTGTTTGTTTGTTTGTTTTAATTATGCATGGCGTCTCTACCATTAGATTATAAGCTCCTTTGACAGCAGGGCTGAGGTCTAATTCATCTTTCGGTTTCCCATAGGCCTCAGCCTGGAGGCTTCTTAAAATGTACTCAGAACAACTAATGACAGTCTCTTTTAGGATGCCAAAGTAAGAGGATCCTGCTTCTTTCTGGCAATTGGGAGTGATCGTTTGCACATGCCAAAAATGCTGCTTTGGAAGAGGCATAAAAGAAATGGCCTTTGACCTAAAATGACCCAATCATTTTTCCCACTTCTTTTTACATGTGGACAAAAAAACAGGCAAAAAACAAAGCAAAAACAAAACAAACAAAACAACCCCCAAACCCTCAAATTAATCAAAGAATTTTTCAATTTGAAAAGGACTCTATATTTCATTTAATCCAACATCTTAATTACAAACACAGAAACTAAGTCCCAAGAGATTTGGATACTTTGTTAATATCACACAGACAGAATCATCAATATAAAATTTTGAGACCCTTAAGTTCAAGGCTCTTTCTAATAGACCAAATAGTTTACCTTTAATAAAAAGAAGGGGAAAAGCATGGTAAAAAAAAAAAAAAAATAGCAAAGAAAAAGAATTCATTGAAAAGCTATATACATTATAGAAAAAAATTCCCTATCAGCCCATTTGTCCATAAAGAATATCATGTTTTCACTCAGCACAAATGTTTGTTGAGTTTAAAGCTTTAATTTCAAAATATGACTGTTGCAATTTCCAGATCCTCTACCCTTATGGCCTCTAATCACACCATGCAGTTGGCAATGAAATGTGTTCTGAGGTTCTTCTCCAAGATATTTCAGTATGTTTGGGTGACACTGGTCATGAACAGGTGTCCTTAACAGTTGTGGAAGTAAAATAACACATCAAAGCCTTGTAGAGAGGTACACAGTCACATATGTTCTCTCCCATCATGACTTGGGCAAATTTGAGTGCACTCAAATTTGAGATAGTTTATTTGGACCCAGGTCTGCTATTACTGCCAGAATCCCTGCCCTTTTCTCACCCATTCCCATGTTGCTGTTGCCCCAGTCCCATCCTGATAGATGTGACACTATCTTACAGATGCCCTAGATTGGCACATGCAAGCACANCCTTTTCTCACCCATTCCCATGTTGCTGTTGCCCCAGTCCCATCCTGATAGATGTGACACTATCTTACAGATGCCCTAGATTGGCACATGCCCTAGATTGGNAGCACACACTGGGGTATGTGCACACACACGTGCACATGCACACAAAATAGGTCTAAGCACTAAATTTAAAACTTACTGGGTTTCAATTTTAAAATTCTATTTACTATTCCAATTGTAAACAAGGAAATACATATGTATTTACAGGGATGGGCAAAAGTAGGTTTGCAGTTGTAACACAGATAAATAATACAATAAATAATAATACAAGAATAAACTCTGTTTCACGTACTCACAACTGTAAACTTACTTTTGCCCTACCCCTGTATTACTCAGGCATATAATACCTACACACACACATATATATATGTATCAATTTATCTCTTCACAGTAATACATAATCACTCAGAAAAAGACCACTTAGTTTTTGGGGGTGGAGGGAGGTAGAAGAGGGTAAAGGGGGGATAAATGGTGATGGAAGGAGATTTGACTTGGGGTGGTGAACACACAATACAATATGCAGATGATGTATTATAGAATTGTACACCTGGAACCTATATAATTTTATTAACCAATGCCACCCCAATAAATCTAACAAAAATGTAAAAAAAAAAAAGAAAGACCACTTAGTTTAAAACATTCTTTCACTTGCTGCAGAGGATTGTCTGTGAAAACTGGTTTTCAATTAGAGACTACCCCAACCCCCATACACCGCTGCTCTGCACTTCCCAAGGTCCCCTTAAGGGCACAAGGATAGTGCATGGGTTTTGGAGCTAGCTACACAAAGGTTTAAATATTAGTTCTGCTATTTACTATTTGAGAAAATTACTTAACTGCACTGAACAATAACTTCTTTATTTCCAAAATGATATTTATACCTATCTCGGAGGTGTAAGGATTTGAGCTAATGTATGCCAGTGGGTGCTGCATGGTAGTGCTCAGTAAATAATAGCTATAATGAAGGTGACGGTGAGGGGAAAGGGGGAAGGGGAAGGGGAAGGGGAAGGGGAAAAGGAGGAAGATGGTAGCCTCCACTTCCTGAATGCTTTCTGTGTTTCTTAGCAAGGTTTGGCAGAACTTAACTGCTAGCATTGAACCAGGGAATATTAAGCTTGAGGTAGAGGAAAGGGAACTACTGATGGGGCAGGGGTGTGAAAGGGGTGGCTAGCACTTATTATGTGACTTTCCTGTCTTGAGCTTATATATACATACCTGTACCTCCAGTGCATTCACAGCAGTGAATTCAGCATCTTTTGAAGAGTCAAGCTCCCCCCACTTTTGTTTTTTGCTTAGAAGAACCAGGCTTTACTAAGCAGGGAGAACAAATTCCTATGCCCTACATCGTGGCTAATCACTGAATTTCCAGTAACTGCAGCAGATGCTGGCTGTCTGCAGTCCCTGGCGACTCTAGTTACTGTGAGATACCCTATAGACTGCAGAACAAATGTCCAGTTCCTTTCTAGAGTCCTGGAGTTAGAGTGTACTGCCAAGCCACAGGCAGAGCTGCTGCTGTGGTCTCAAGTGTCCAAAGTCCAACAGGAAGGAGGAAGCCTCAACCTACTTTGGACATGCCCTAAATGACAGAGCCACTTAGGGCCTGCCTAAGATACCATTCTGTTTACAAACACATACTTACCTGCAGTACCACTTGACAAAACAATCCATCAGAATGCATGTTGTCAAATGACTAATGTTAAAAGAGGTCTGTGTATCATTCCAGTGTTGACTCAACAGGCATCAATTAGACAAGGAGAAGACCTGTTCTGAAGCATGAGCATGTGAAGCTTGAGCATTTCTCAAGCTGCAGTAGTCAATGGCTGATAAAACACAAGTGATCATGACAGTCATGAAATTTAGCAGCCCTCTCCTTGCTCCAAAGCAGCAAGAGCCCATAAAGGACAATGAACCCGGAAGACCTCCAAATTAGAGGTCAGTAAGGAAAAGGCTGCACCTGAGACCAGCGCTGCTCTTCCTCATGCATAGAAAGCAAAGGCCTGGGGTTGCATGAGGTCATCTTTTAACCTTCAAAAAGGCAGACTGTTCCCAGGAATGCTTGGGAGTTTGTCTGGTAGTCCAGGGGTGAAGTCAGTTGTTATGTCTCCAGGTAAGAGAAAGGATTGGCAGTAGTCCATTCTCTGCTTCTAGGAATGCTTTCCAAGTACCAGCATTTAGGATTTTGTCCAGTACACGAAGCCAAGATCACTGTCGTCCAAATGTCCTTCCCTAGAAACCATGTTTTTACTAGCTTTTGAGTGGATGGAAGAGCACCCATTTAACTAATCTAATGAGAGTGATGTCAAGTTACAAAAACCCCAGGAAAGAGACAGTAGCTGGCACAGAAGTGCTTTTCATGGCTGTGGTTCAAGATCAGTCAGGCAGACACCTGTATATATAGACAAAGCTTCAAACACCACCACCCATCACACCTAATGACTGCCTGTGACAAGCACTTCCATTCTCTATTTCTGGCTTTCCCAACAACAAAAATATGCGTCTTTATCCTTGGTCCTGGTTCTGAACCTATTCTTTCATGCTAGTTTGTTTTGTGCTTTTTTTCCCCTTTCATATGCAAGGTCAGATAAGTTAGAAAGGAAATATTTTTCAGTCTTGATTTTGATTCAGATCTCAAACTGTGAATGACTTTTTATTCCTTACCTTTTTTGGGGTAAGCGATTCAAGTAAATGCACCCTCCCATACCCTGGCCCCAACATCCAGAAGATAATATTCTTAGAATAAGGCTATCAAGTAAAAACAAAACAAAAAAACACACACAAAACAAAACGGTGGCTCCTTTCTCCTGAGTCCCTTTTGCCCACCATGCAGTGTACTTAAATCTCTTTACAGCAGCTGCTTCGGTGTTAAGTTTTTTTTTTTTTGGTTTGGAAATACAAAGAGGTTTAGGTAAGGTCACTGACCATTATTTTCTCAGCACAATAGAAAAGCAGCCCAGCCCATGAACGACACGGTTACGGCGGAAGCAAACGCGGCGGAAACAAGTGAGAAAGGAATACCTGGGATCGCCAGATTGGACAGGGGGACGCGGTGGAGGTGAGCGGGCAGCGAGGCCATCCAGTCGGCATTGCAGACCTCCGACGCCGCCTTCGTCCCGCTGGGGTTGGGGGAACAGATGGTCCCCATCTTGAGTTTCCTCCTTACCTTCCTAACTGCTAGCATCCCCGTCAGTCCGCGCACCGCCCAGGCTCAGTCCAGGGCGGCTCGCTCAGTGATCCTCATGGCCCCGGCTCTCTAGACATGTCAGGGCCACTGTGTCACGCGTCCGGCCCGCAGGCCTTTCTGCCTGGGAAGACGGGGCACATAGGTGGTCGCCTGCCCTCGCCCAGNCCCGCCGTCCCCGCCCGCTCCACTCGCTCAATCCGCTCAGTCCCGGCTCCGTGAAACTTCTCGCGTCCGCCTCGGGAGCTCGGGGGAGGCAGGGCCCCCGGGGGTAAATCTCCCAGAAACTGAACGTCCGAAGGGCAGCCACGCCCGGAGCCACTCACAAGACAGGTGCTTACACAGCAGACGGGCGAGCCCGTGTGTCCCTACACACGTGAGCGCCGGCACGCGCCACCGCCAGCCCGATTTAGGCGCCTGGGTATGTCACCGGGCAGCCACGGAGGCTGGGCCGGCCCCCGCGCCCGGCTCCTCGGCGCACACTCGCCCGGCCCGCGCTTCCTGGAGCCGCTCACAAGTGT